AATCTCCTCTTAGCTGTCAGAGGAACAGAAGCCCCCATTGGATGATTTCTGCTTACTCCGTTTTGGTGAGAACTGTAAACCTTTATATTCCATATCACTTTCTGTGCTGCTAACAGTGACCACCAGGCCAAACAGAGAGGATGCATCTCCCTAGGGGGGAAACGCAGCAAAAGAAACCTGACCAGTATGGCTAAAAGTAAAACAAAGTTTTGGATTTAGAGGATTTGGGGTTAGTTCACCTTTACCAAAAAAACTGCCTATGCAGGTCAGGGCTTGCTGTAGATAAAAATAAACAAACTGCAGCTTTGACTAAATTTGGATAACGCCCTTGCTATAGGTGTAGGCCATTTACGTACCTCCCGAAGCCTGACCCAAAAACTCCCAGAGATGGTATTGTTCTGTCCTGCCTTTTTGCCAGGATGTTGCTAAGACATTCCCACCTTCAAAGGAGTCGGCCTCCAGCCCAACACATGTGTGGTCCACTATCTCCTCTGTCACAGCATCACTCAGCTCAGCACTACTGAGGGGAGAGTGCGCATGCAAGGGGGTTGAATTGGCTGGCAGTGCCTTAGGAGCAATGCAGGATAGGATGATGCCATCTTTGACATTTTTCCAGTCAGGCTTCTGGAGGTATGTAAATAGCCTACACCATTGCAGGGGCACTTATTGAACTTCAGACAAAGCTGCACCCTTGGTTTTTATCTACAGGTGCCCCGTACCTTCATAGGCAGTTTTTTTTTTTTTGGAAAAGTGAACTAACCCTGTAAGACTAAATGTTTAATCTTTTCATAGGCCCAGCTGTGACTGGTTCTCTTTGGGTGCTTTACTAGATGTAGACGCCTATGCCATTCGCTTGAAGAAAAGAGAAACATCGCTGCTGGCCCATATGTCTGCAGGCCCTGTACATTGAAGTAGATTAACCGTTTCAATACCGTGCAATTTTACACCTTCCTGCCCAGGCCATTTTTCAGGTTTCAGCGCTCTCACACTTTGAATGACAATTGCGCAGTCATACAACATTGTACCCAAACTAAAATTTTATCATTTTCTTCACACAACTAGAGCTTTCTTTTGGTGGTATTTAATCACCGCTGGGGTTTTTTATTTTTTGCTAAATTAACAAAAAAAGACCAAAAAAATTGAAAAAAAAAAAAAAACACATTTTTCTTTGTTTCTGTTATAAAAGTTTACAAATAAATAATTGTTCTTCATAAATTTAGGCCGAGATGTATTCTGCTACATGTCTTTGGTGAAAATAACCCAAATTAGGATGTATTATTTAGTTTGTAGGAAAGTTATAGAGTTCACAAACTATGGTATAGATCTGAATATTGATCAATCCTGAAGTACTGACAGCCAATCTAATTTCTTGAGGTCCAAGAATGTCAGAATAGTACAGATATCCCCAAATGACCCCTTTTTGCTGAGTAGACAGTCGGACGTACTTCATAAGAGGCATGGCGAGTTTTTTGAAGTTGTATTTTTTTGTCATAATTTTTTCCGAAAATGAAAAAATGAAAAATATTATTTTCACTATATTTTTTTTTTACATACTGTCACCAGTGCAGTACAGCGTCATCATATAACTGGCATGGCGGTGAACAGGGACACTGACTGGTGACAGTATGAAAAAAAAAAAAAATTATTATTTTTTTTTAATTTTTTTTTTTATTATTTAATTTTTTATTACATTTTTTTTTTTTTTTTTTAAAGATTTTTTTTTTTTCATATTTTACTATGACCAAAATAGTACAATGTTACCATAGTAACATTGTACTACTTTGGGGAAGTGATCAGTATTTTTTTTTTTTTTTTTTTTTTTTTTTTACACAATTTGCTTATAGCAAAGAATTACTTTGCTATAAGCAAGCATTTAGCTGAATGAAATCGATTCATTCAGCTTTTTTTTTTTTTTTTTTTTTTTTGTGCTTAGCTGTGATTTGGTCACAGCTAATCACATGACATGTGCATGTGATTAGCTGTGACCATTCACAGCTAGGCACTAGTATACAATGGATGGCATCATGAATGAAGCCATCCATTGTATACAACTGTCATGTGACCTGCTGTGATTGGTCGCGGCAGGTCACATGGTACCGGCAACGGGAGCCGGTACTCGGATCTGTCATCGGCCGTGTCCGAGGTGCACGGGCGGTGACAGATCCCGCTGCTGCGCCGCTCTGCAATAGCGCAAACGGCGCATGTGCGGGAGCACGCCAAATGGCGTGGACCCGGAAAGCTGCAGCGCTTTTCAAGCCGCCAAACGGCTATTGGCCGGGCGGCTAATGGTTAAAAGTGAACTCACAAGCTGCCATTGCTATTCTTATCCTTCCTTCAATACTTAAGCCGGCCATCGGTGGATTGAAATTCGTCCGGTTAAGCGGGGTGGGAGATATTTTTGATCCATCTATGGGCAGGCTAGTTGTACAGAAGATGATCTCTCAATCGACTTCTGTACACCCAGCTTGTCAAGGTGTTTTTCGCTTGACCAAAGCCACAGGCTATAGCTGACAACACTGATCATTGTTTCCAGATGGCAGGGGATTCTCCACACAGAATACAATAGCTTTGTGGGAGGGATTACCCCGTCAACACCAAGTGTGTTGAAAGACAAATCAAATTTTTTTTTTTTCCCGACCTGCTGATTGAACAAAAAAAAAAAAAAAAAAAGCATCGTCGATGGCCAGCCCTAGTGAATCATTGTCCTTAAACAAGCATACCTGGTCTTGTACCCCTAACATGAACATGCTCCCCCTGTACCCCTATTGGGATGAGTTTTTCCTCATTTCCCGTCTGTGACACCCATACTGGAAATGGGGATACAGTTGTCATCAGGATAGGAAGGCACAGACATCAATAAAACCATTATCAGAAGGTCTAACTTCTCTCCACTGTACTCAATGTGTTCTGAATCCCTCAGTGACCCCACTGCAGATATTTGGTATCACTTCTGTGCAAGGAAGGACACAGAAAACAATACAGCTGAGGTTCTAAGCAAAATAAAACAACATTTGGGCTAGGGTCGAGCCTTAAAAGATGAAGGGCTGCATTTTCTTATATGGACCGTTAAATCCATGCCCCACCAGCTTCCTCCTACTCATGGAAGTCATTTGCAGGCACCATGGAAAGATTGTATCCCAGCAGTTAGTGCAAGATGCTACACAGGTCATAGGGATCTGCTGTTGTCATCTGACAGCTGAAGGATTATAAACCAATCTGCGACATTGCAGGTTCCTGGAGTGTGTCACTTGTCACAAAGCCCGCTATTAAAGTGTTACTAAACGCACAACAGTAAAATCAGTCTGTATGTGCAGTAAAACATGCTTGTTATACTGTGGAACCTAAGGGGTTAATTCTCTGCATTGTGTAAAAAGGATGTTTGATCCTGTCTTCTCTTATCCTCCCCTTCTTCCACATTCCCCATTTTATCTGATAGGACAGAGCCTCAGACACTCTGCCCATGCTCAGATTGGTGTGTACTGCTAGAGAGTTTTTCCTTTTTCTTGGGAGAGTGCATGTGATCAGCACAGGGCCAATCAGCACTGTCCAGACAGAGGGTCAGGGGTTATGCAATCTCATAGGACAGTGAGAAGATAATGAAACCTCCTAACAAGCTTTAACCAGTACCCAGCTGGACACTGATAGAAGTCATAAGCCTGCTATATACTGCTGATGAGCAAAGGTATTTAGCAGTTTACATTTACTAACATAATTGCACTTCTATCTTCTGTGTACTGTGGGAGACCAGATATAGTGAATGTAGAGTTCTGGGTTTAGTAACACTTTAACTGTGAGTCAGCTGTGCGTTTATGAAGAGTACTAAATAGCCAATGGGTCTTTATTTTCAGCATCCAACCTTAATCACAACCACTCGAGTTCTCCATTTTCATGACAGAGTCCTATGAACTTCACACTGGATCATCGAAGACACTTAATAGCTTTAGCACTTGAGCTTACAAGAACACCATGGTCTATTCATGCTTGAATTCAAGATGACTTGTGAGGAATCTGTTTTATTCCAAACAATCTTTCTGGTCCAATTCAATTTCTGGTGTTTCATAGCTTGCCCAGCATGGTTTCTTTAGAGACGATATATGGAAAAGTAAACACAATGTCCACTCCTGAAGATGAAGTGCAAGTAAACCCAGGGAGGACAGTAACTCCTGAGTGGACATCTATTCAGGCCATACATTGATAAATAGAGAGCAAGGACATTGGCAGTGAGATATCTCCAGATAGGACAGGCTCTCATTTGACCATGCAAGATAGTCATCCACTATATGGTACCGCCTTTATATATAGCTGATCACACATAGGCAGAATGGTGGTCTATTTGATAAAAAATTACAAATCTCTTCCAAGTTCATTACAAATTTTATTTTGACTTGAGATGTCTAAAATGTTATATAATGGGACACAGAAGGATAGGGGCTTCACCAGGAAGAAAGGGTACTGAAGAGACAAAGAAGCCATCCACCGCCTCCATCTCCTGGCACCTTCCTCCTACTCTCATGATCTCCTTCAAAGAGGTTAGTTTTGGTTCTGTGACCCAGCAGAACCTTCCTCTGTCTTCGACAACCCATCTCCATATGGGACATCCCTCAACAAATACGGTTTAATAAAAGCTGGAAAAGATCATTCCCGTTTCTTCAGCAAGTGGAAATTCCTACACAACAAGGCAACCAATGCTGACCTCTGTCACTTCCACACATTTGTACCTTGACTCCAACACTGTCAGCATATAGTAGCTTCCCTTGTCTAAATAAATATGAGATTTGATATGCATTTCTCTATTTCCAGCTCAGTCCTTGTAAACAGGTCACTTATCCAATAATGTCTCAATAAAACCCTCATAACACACTGAACTTTGTACGTGGCAATCAGCAGTTTTTCTAGATAACCAGACACTGAGCAGCGGGCATCTCCCAACATGAGGTGGTTCTAGAGAGGCGAAGGATGCACATTGCGCAGAGATGTCTCCAAGTCTCCTCTGCCTCTACTCACAAGTAGTAGTTGATGCGGGATGGTACTGTTTTGCAGCCCGTTGAGGAGAAAACCTTTTCATCTTCAGGAATGTAAACCAGACTGTCTGCTACAGACTGAACAATATCTTCTTCCTTAGCCAAGTCTTGCTGTTCCAGCTCACTGCGAACGCACTGTCTGACGTGGTTAGGGCGTAAGGGCAAAAAAGGCACAATGACATCTATGAGGTTCTGCTTGATGATCTCGGACTGCCAGAAGCCATCTGCCAAAGAAGATGCACATATAGTAAATAAATCAAATTAATGAGGGGATAGCTATGTCTTAGGAAGGCCGTACATCATCCATATTTCAGGAATCAAGCTGTGGGTAACCCCACTGGCACCATCAAGCTCAACAAACTTTGATTTGAAAAAAATTAATGGAGAGATCTATCTATATAATTATATATATATATATATATATATATATATATATATATATATATATATATATAATCTATATTAAAACACTACATGATTTGCAGGTGTGAAAGTGACAGGTTTCATCTTGAAAGTGATATAATAATTATTTTGTTTTATCTTCCGCTGTGTGATGAGATACCTAGCTAACAGGTGGGAAGCCTCACTTTCTTCATTCACTGTGTGCGCTGCTAGTAATACAGAGTCATATCAGAACTTACTGAGCTTCAAAGAGGGCAAATTGTTGGTACTGCTTAGCTGGTGCCTCTGTGACTGAAGTTGCCAAATTATTTGCCCTGCTGTGGGATACAATATCAAAAAGGTTATGACGGCATATACAGTTTCTGGGAAAACGTCATCTGATAAGCATAAGAGCGGTTGACATGGTCAGCTGACTGAGAGACAAAAGGAAATTGTGACTCGGAATAAGAAAACAACAGTTACAAATGTGGCTGCAGAGCTCAATCTCAGTCCCGTGAAGACGGAGATTGAGCTCTGCAGTCACTTTTACAGCAGCTGTTTTCTTATTCCAGGACCTGTGCAATGTCCTTTTGTCAGTCACTTGACAAATGTCAACCACAATTATGCTTATCAGATGATGTTTTCCCAGAAACTGTATATGCTGTCATGACCTTTGATACTGTACCTTGCGACATGTCAAATAAATGGCAACTTCAGTCACAGAGGCTCCAGCTAAGCAGGACCAACAATTTGCTCTCTTTGAAGCTCAGTAAGCTCTGACATGTCTCTGTATTACTAGCATCGCACGCAGTGAATGACAAAAGTAAGGCTTCCGACCTGTTAGCTAGGTGTCTCATCACCCAGCGGAAGCAAAGGTGTGTTACATCACTTCCGTTATCAACAGGAAACAGGCCATCACTTTCACACCTGCAAATCACGTTGTTTCCATTTTTTTGTCCAATCCCTGTATATATCATAGACATTTTCCATTTGGACAGTGGTTTGGTGACACAAGCACAGTATAGTGTTTAGTTTATGTTGGTAAGCTGCACTCACGTTCATGGTCTGATATCACAGTGTTGGCTATAGCCGACTCTACATCCCTCAGCTGGATCTCTTCTCTGTCCCTGCGTTCTCTCCAGAATTTCAGAGCCACCCGATTAATGTCATCTCCTCCCGAATTGCTGCAAAACACAAGTATATTAGTGGGCTACATATCTTAAAAAAAAAAAAAAAAAAAAAAAAAAGCAGTTTTTGGTTAATTTCATTTAAACATTTTCTTAAAATGTTTACCGTCACTTATATAACATCTTCAATGTAAGAATTACCATAGAATGCAGTATGCTTTCTTTTCAAACATCCCAGCAAACTAATCGAAGTTCCATGTGGAGTTGTATGAATTTAGGACAGGGAGGGGTGTGTGCATTCTGAAAAACGTATTCAAATAGCACGCTTTACATGATAGAAATAAAATACTCAGAAGTCCTGAAGAATGGGATTGCTGAACACCAGCTACTGTCTAGATGTGGTAAATAATAAACAGCAATATATATATATATTTTTTTTATTTACCTGACTAAAGAGAAAATAAAATAAATTCAGCCCTAAATATAAAGGATAGATTACCTGTACAAAACAACCATACATTTCCTTTACACCCCCCCTCACCCGCAATCTGTAAGATTACCAGCCCTTGAACAATGACCCAAATTTAAGGAACATTCTACGTTAGACAGCAATGAGTGCATTGTGCGGTGTGCTCCTAGCTGTGAGACCACACTCTCACTGACAGCTATTGATCTCTAATAATGATTAGGAACTAATCAGTGTGGTGCCCGATCACATGGCTTTGTTAGTAAACAGATGTCATTGACAGCTGCTGATGTATTTCTGTCTGTGAACTCAATGTGCACAGAAAAATATTTTCTCTACATAAAGTAGTTCTAAAGGGAATTTTTTTTTTTTTTTTTTTACGTTAATGCATTAATGTAAAAAGACTTCTGTGTGCAGCTCCCCCTCCAATCCCCCCCCCCCCACCCCCAAATACTTACCTTAGCCTAATATCAACAATCCAGCACTGTGCACGAGAGCAGCGACTTTCTCCGCTCTGTCCCTCCTCACAGGACAGAAAGGCAACAACGAAAGCCACTGGCTCCTGCTGCTGTCAATGAAATCATGTTGAGGGAACGGGGTGGGGCCGAGCCGCACTGTGTGGGTCTATGGACACAGGCAGCGCAGCTCAGGATCAAGCTTGCAGGTGTGCCACAATAGGAAGTGACTACCTATGGTGCTGGCAAGGGACCCTAGGAGAGGAGGATTGGGCAGCTCTGTATAAAAAACCATTGCACAGAGCAGGCAAGTAGAACATGTTTATTATTTTAAAAAATTACCCTTTACAATAAGAAAAAAAAGAAAACATTGTACAAAACAAAATCAATGCTGGCGTCAGAAACAATTGTACAACTTAAAACAATTGTGCAACTAAAAGGTATGTGTTGCATGAATACATTGGCAATACAAATAAGCCATCACAATGCCCAATCAGGGCAAAGTAAAAGGTTCTCTTAAGAGAGCCCCACCCACCTATGCTGCACTCCCCCACCAATCTGTTCCACCATCACAGCTGGGAGTTCTAACCCTGTGTAAGCTCTAAGTTGTTCTTCTCTTTGCTCATGTGACAGTGTTCGAGCCTAGCAATTAGCTACTCATCCTGGAGGCCACATCCTCCCTCATACAGAGGAGCGCCATTTTTTCGTGAGAGTTCAGGCAGGGGAACGAAGTAATGAGATGTACGGCAAAGGTGAGAATTAGCAGGTGGGGAGGTTTTTCTTTTAGGATGAGAATCTCTATAACAAATGTAAGTCATTGTAGGTAAGGGTGTACACATCATTGAAGAATGATCCCATGTACTAACCTTATGAAGATAAATATGGCCTTCTTGTAATTTGAACCAATCACCACCCACGACGGGCCAAGGAAAGGGACAAGGACATCTATGAGCCCCGGGTGCATTTTGTCCATTTCTTCAAACACAAACATGGATCGACCACAAGTGGTGAGGTTACCCTGGATCCACTGTTTGAGGTTCTCCTAGATGACGATACAATTCATAATAATAGAAATAAAGATTAGATAATTTTTTTCTTTGTCAGAACAATGGACCACTAATTCCTCCTAATGTCTCCAAAATGTACCTATGTGCACTACCCACCACATCCATGCATACTTGCCTGGCTCTGACAGTTACTGCCTCTGGTGCTTGTTTACATCCTGGCCATGCCTGCACATTACAGCCGTTTAGACTTCTACAAGACAGTCTCCAGCCTCAAGGCACAGCCCCATTGAAGTCTAAAGGGCTGTAATGTGCAAGTGATGCCCCTCTCCCCCCCCCAGAAAAAAAAAAAAAAAAAAAAACCCACCCTGTGAAAGCATGTGGGGGTTCTTCTCCCCTGCAGCAGCTGTCACTTTGGAGATTTGTGTGGCTGTGGGGATCTCTGCCTGCACGGCTGCATCATTCATTCACAGAACTGTGAATGAACTACAAAAAGGATGAGTGTACTTAGACTTAAAGTGTGGTTTTCCTGGTCTCCAAACCGTGGCCCAAGGGCCAGATGCAGCCCTTTTTTAAAAATTTTATCTGGCTCTTGGAGCGCTATTCCTCCCATTGATGCAAGCACTATTCTTCCCATTTGCACCATTCCTCCCGCTGACACCAAAGATGCAACACTATTTCCCTCACTGGCACCAATAATGGGGCACTGTTCCTGACGCAAACAATGGGGCACTATTCACCCCTGACACCCACTGGGGACATTCCTCCCACTGACAAACAATGGGGCACTATTCCACCCACTGACACCAACCATGGGGCACCATTCCTCCCACTGACACCAACCATGGGGCACCATTCCTCCCACTGACACCAACCATGGGGCACCATTCCTCCCACTGACTGACACCAACCATGGGGCACCATTCCTCCCACTGACACCAACCATGGGGCACTATTCCTCCCACTGACACCAACCATGGGGCACCATTCCTCCCACTGACTCCAACATGGAACACCATTCCTCCCACTGACTCCAACGATGGAACACCATTCTTTCTCCTGACTCCAATGATGGGACACTATTCCTTCCACTGACACCAGCAGGGCGGCAATATTCCTCCAATTATCTTTTAAGATGGTTAATCATACTGATAAAATACAGAGGCCCACCTTGTACTGTTTGAGATTCTGAGCATGAGGGAAGTTCAGGACTGGAGAGAAATGATGGACATAGGGGCTGCGGCTTCCATCTCTGTACAAATGTTTTACCAGCAGGGAACTCAGGAATGTCTTGCCGGTGCCACTCCAGCCATGGAAGGACAATACGAGGGGTTTGCTGGGGTAATCGGTCTCCATAAACTGTCTCAGGGTTTTCACCACCAGCTCCTGGGCCAGATGCTGCCCGAACAAATTGCGAGCAAGGTCACACTCCAAGGCTGCAGAGACAACAAGATAAAGTAACGTTCAAATTGAAAGGAAACGCCAAGAGTTTTCTATTAGCACATTGAATAGTTGCCCATACCAGTTATATCTGGATTCAATTTTTAGGTTTGTCTCTGTGCATTACTCTAAAGATTGAGACTTCCATTTTCTGAAACTTTTGTTGTATCTCTAGGGAGTTTCAGCTTCACCATTTGTATGCTGTCTAAACCCCAGCCAGCCCCAGAATATGTCATATGAGACTACCAAAGCAGAGACTAAACAAGACACTTATTGCTTTAGAGAAAATAGAAGGATGATTTCAGTTTTCATGTGGTGTGCAGAGGGTGAAGAGAATTTATAGTGAAACTCCGCTTTTGCTTATAAATCACCTGCATGTGAACAATTTTCTTTGCAAGGAATCAAGTAAGATGTAGAACCTTTCTCTGTTGTGACATCATTTTTATAGGCCTTTCCATACTGCAAAGTGGGAGGGTCTGCATTCATTATCACCAACTGCGTGTCCTAAAGGATACATTCACTTTATTAAATTAAAAAAAAATAGAATAAATGCACATTTTTTTTCAGGTAAAAATAAAATGTGCATTTATTATTTTTTTCCTTGGGAGCCTGTAAATCATTGCAATCAGCAGATCGCCGGTGCAATGTCAGGCAGACTGTCAGTGTAGATATCTGCCTGTACCTCCGAAACGAGCAGGCAGTTATTGCTGGCCAGGAAGCTCAATGGATTATGGAAGTGCTCACCAGTGCCCTCGCAGTACATTGAAACCTACAAGCCGCAAAGGCTGATGGTACTTGTAGGCATTCATTCACAGGAACCTGTGAATGAAAGATGCAACTGTGTGGGCGGAGCCCCACGTGGCCACAATACTTTCAAATTGTGACAGTGCCCACCAGCTGTCACAGAGGGGGGCAGAGACTGCAGCTGCTGGAACATGTTACATGTACCACCCTAAAAATGGGTGGAACATGTAACATGTTCCAAAAGGTGAGCTTATCCTATAAGCTGGCCATACACTAGTAGATTTTTTTGAATGAACGTTCATATGAAAATTCTCTCCAGTACATCCAAGGACATGATGAATGGCGTTCGAAAGTCCTTCATAAACTACTTTGAACATTCGATTTTGGAGCGAATGAAAACTGCATTCATGGTTAGAAATGTTTCCAACAGAAACATTTTCTATCCTGCCTTCTTCAAATTTTCTAGTCACTGCAGCTGAAAAAGAATATCGATTCACACCACTAACGATTAGAAAATTGAATAAAGGTTCTTAAAATGAAAAATGCCAAATCTACTGGTATATGGCCAGCCTTAAAGAGGAACTTCAGCCCCCCTCGCTTTATGTATGCATGACATCAAAAACCCCGCTTTTAAGGACGTTTCATGTTTTTTCTGCCTCTACATACCCCTCTATGCTAGCCTATGTGCTTTGCAAACATCAGCATTTAGGAGGTACAAAAAACCCCACTGTCAGTGTGCACGGGGGGAGCGTCTTCTGAAGAATATATGCCTGATGCAACCTAAAAGCATGTAAACACGCTTAAAGCGGAGCTCCACCCAAAAGGGGAAGTTCCGCTTTAAGGACTACTCCCCCGCTCCCTATTAAGGATTGGCACCTTGGAGGGGCGTGGGGGGGGGGGGGGGGGAGTGGGTACCAGAATTTGACAGGTACCGGCTCCCAATTGTGGTCGCACCGCCTAGGCCAGTGATGGCGAACCCGTGGCACGCGTGCCACAGCCGGCACGCCGAGCCTTATCTGTGGGCACGCCAGGAGAATACCGTATTTTTCGCTCCATAAGACGCACTTTTTTTCCCCCAAAAAAGGGGGGAAAATGTCAGTGCATCTTATGGAGCGAATATAGAGCGGCCGGTCCGGTATTTCCACCGCCGCCGTGTCAGAATACCGGGCCGGCCGCTCAGCTCTCCAGTGGGACCGTACCTGTCCCTCTATCCAGCGGCGCGCTGCGCGCTGTCTTCCCGCAGTTCTGTGTGTGGTAAGGCGTGACACATGACAGATCCCAGAAGCCGCCGGACCAATCACAAAGCGCAGCGCTTCTCGCGCATGCGCACTGGGCATCCGGCTGTCCGACGAGCGCCCACACTACAGAAGCCGGGAAGACAGCGCGCGGCTGGATAAAGGAACAGGTAAGATAAAAAAAAAAAAAACTCTGCGGAAGTAAGAGCGGGTACCTGTCAAATTCAGGTACCCGCTCCCCCTCCCTCCCCAAAGGTCAGCAGTCATCTGTACTGTCCGCAGTCTCTGGTCATCCCTGTACTGTCTGCAGTCTCTGGTCATCCCTGTGCTTTCCGCAGTCTCTGGTCATCCCTGTGCTGTCCGCAGTCTCTGGTCATCCCTGTGCTGTCCGCAGTCTCTGGTCATCCCTGTACTGTGTCCGCAGTCTCTGGTCATCTCCTGTACTGTGTCTGCAGTCTGGTCATCCCCTGTACTGTGTCTGCAGTCTCTGGTCATCCCCTGTACTGTGTCTGCAGTCTCTGGTCATCCCCTGTACTGTGTCTGCAGTCTCTGGTCATCCCCTGTACTGTCTGCAGTCTCTGTCATCCCCTGTACTGTGTCTGCAGTCTCTGGTCATCCCTGTACTGTGTCCGCAGTCTCTGGTCATCCTGTACTGTGTCCGCAGTCTCTGGTCATCTGGTCATCCCTGTACTGTGTCCGCAGTCTCTGGTCATCCCTGTACTGTGTCCGCAGTCTCTGGTCATCCCTGTACTGTGTCCGCAGTCTCTGGTCATCCCTGTACTGTGTCCGCAGTCTCTGGTCATCCCTGTACTGTGTGCAGTCTCTGTCATCCCTGTCTGTGTCTCTGGTCATCCCTGTACTGTGTCCGCAGTCTCTGGTCATCCCTGTACTGTTAATTAGTTTGCACTACTGTACGAGTTGTTTTTTCTAAACCAAAAGCTCGATATTCAGGTTTCATTGCAGTGTTGGCACTTTGAAAGAAATAAGTTGGTTTTGGGTTGCAGTTTGGGCACTCGGGCTCAAAAAGGTTCGCCATCACTGGCCTAGGCGATCGGAAACTAAAGGTGTCCTCCCTCCCTCCTGTAGTCTTCTGCGACACGTGACAGGTCCCAGAAGACTACAGGACCATTCATGAAGTGCAGCGCTACTCACACATGCACAGTGGGTACCCGGCTGTGAAGCCGCAAGCAGTCACACTCGGATGACCACACTGAAGATGCCGGCCTCCAGGATGGCCGGTGAAACGGGCTGCGGGGACACACCACGGGACCCAGGGACAGGTGAGTGGCTGTTTTTTTAAAAGTCAGCAGCTACAGTTTTTGTAGCTGCTGACTTTTATTTTTTGACAGGATGAGTGGAACTCCACTTCAGTGTTCATTCATTCCAATAGCCAGAATACATTAACCCCTTCACGCCGGCGCCTCCCGGCCCTTTAAGGGTTTCAGAAGCCGGGAGGTGGGGCGGGGTTTAGGGTCATGTGACCGCCGTGACACGCCGTCATGGCGGTCACATGATCGGGAAAGGTCCCGATCGAAAGAGATCGGGACCTTTCCGTGAGTACCGGACGTGTGCTGGGAGCGCAGGGCACGTGCTCTCGGCACATATGTTCTTTTTTCATAGAATACAAATGTGCAGCCGCTTGGCGTCTAGGCCTAGATGCTGGGACGCCGCACATTTGCGTTCGGCCAGCGTGAAGAGGTTACAATTCTGCCCAATGGAATGAACACCCAAGAGTTAATCGTGTTTTTAAAAAATGCAAAAAAAAAAAAAAAAGGTACATTTCTTATTTTTGTCCAAAAGGTGAACTTATCCTTTAACATTAGTGTATTTTTACTGTTTTTGTTTTCTAGACTGTTTTGCTAATTCCGCGAGGCATAAAATACCGCGACTACCACCATGTTATTCCTTAGGGTCTCTGATCTCAGAAAATAAGGCATGTTTATGGGGATTTGTGTCATTTTCAGGCCTAAAATTATGTTTTAAGTATGTAAACAAAAATGTAAAAACAGCTCAGACATCTCGCATTTCAGCTGATCCCCCCTGAATTGGATGACATACAATTGTGCCCCCCCAGCTGGAAAAATACTGCAGACGCTAGGTGGAGAAGTATGAGCGGAGCAGGGAGTGTGTCCAGTCCTGTGCTGTCAGTGTGTGAGATATCAGGCAGCCGCACTGACCACAGGCGGCAGTGGAGGATATTATGGATGGGGGAGGGGAGCGATCTTCTCTTGCTCGGCCTGCATAGGGCCCCCGGACTGTACCAGGTCCCCTACTGATCTATCATAGGTATGGGGGATGGGGTGCATTAGGAGGGTTCAGACTAGGTTGTCAGTTGAAAGTAGAATTTTGTAGTTTTGGATGGAGTGGAGAAGGATTACATGTCGTCTCATGATTTCCCTGCTATCTGGAGCTCCTAGAGAGAGATTTCCCCTCACTTCCTGTCCTGCTGATATCTTTCTACCAGACAGGAAGTGAGGAGAAGCCAGCAATAGGGGACACCAGCAGAATAAACAGGGTCTATCGCCTCCTCATAAACTACTAAAGAGAAGAAAGGTATTTCTGTGTCACTTTAGAAGAGTTCTCACTTCCTGTTTGGTAAAAGGTTGTCACCAGGAGAGGAAGTGAGGGGAAATCTCTCAACAGGAACCAGAGAACAGTAAAGGCGGGGGGGGGGGGGGGGGTCTAACCCATCACCACTCTCTAAAACCAAGGAGAATAGCTTGTAGCTGAACACGAACTATAATTGCCCCCCACCCCACTTATCTGTGAAGTGTCCCTTTAAGAGACAATAACTAAATCCCCCCAGTGGAATGAACCATTAAGTCCGGGGGGGAGGGCAGTCTTCTCTACTCACCATCCAAGCCGGGCCGGAAGCTGCAGTCACAGGCGCTGCTGGAGTATAGACTGCAATGGAGGGAGGAGAGCTGCCAGCACAGCCCGGAGCCGGCCACCCAAACCACCGACAACACCAGGCTGAGGCGGCCCGCCATCCTCACCTCACTCGCGTCATGACGGGAAATGTAGTCCGCTCCTCTCCGCCCGGCTCAGCGTCACGTGACGGCCAGTGTCAGGAGCCGGCCGCCATGTTGGTGGAGGAAGGAGGGTCTACATAGAGAGCGGGGCAATGCCTGCTGCTGACACCGGTGTATGTATATACATATATGGATAGTTATATATCACTCTAGAAGGCTGCACTCACACCTGGCTCTTCTGGAAATGTATGAAATACCGTGCTGCCAGTAATTTTCCCCTCAAACGTGGAGCTGAGGACCAGGAACGTCTATAGGTATGCATAGAGCAGACTGTCCACATGAATGGGCCGCCCTACGCTGTGTGGGAAAAATGCACAACTAATGTGACGCAGCCATGTGAATGGGGCCTACAATACATATGTAAGAGCCTAGTGTACACTGCATAGAGAGGCCTGCTGTCCAACCTATGGCCCTCAGGGCTCCTGCAGACACCAGTCTGTGTGTCCCTATGGCTCTGTTATAGCTGTGATTTACAGCAGTCCCATGTAATATCTCTGCAGTCTCTGACCATCCCCAGTACTGCGTCTGCAGTCTCTGACCATCCCTAGTACCGCGTCTGCAGACTCTGACCATCCCCAGTACCGCGTCTGCAGACTCTGACCATCCCCAGTACCGCGTCTGCAGTCTCTGACCATCCCCAGTACCGTGTCTGCAGTCTCTGACCATCCCCAGTACAGTGTCTGCAGACTCTGACCATCCCCAGTACCGTGTCTGCAGTCTCTGACCATCCCCAGTACCGTGTCTGCAGTCTCTGACCATCCCCAGTACTGCGTCTGCAAACTGACCTTCTCTAGTACATTGTCTGCAGTCTCTGACCATCCTTAGTACCGCGTCTGCAGTCTCTGACCATCCTTAGTACCGCGTCTGCAGTCTCTGACCATCCCCAGTACAGTGTCTGCAGTCTCTGACCATCCAAAGTACCGTGTCTGCAGTCTCTGACCATCCCCAGTACCGTGTCTGCAGTCTCTGACCATCCACAGTACCGCGTCTGCAGTCTCTGACCATCCCTAGTACTGCGTCTGCACTGACCATCTCTAGTACATTGTCCAGTCTCTGACCATCCCTAGTACTGCGTCTGCAAACTGACCTTCTCTAGTACATTGTCTGCAGACTCTGACCATCTCTTAGTACATTTGTCTGCAGACTCTGACCATCTCTAGTACATTTGTCTGCAGACTCTGACCATCTCCACAGTACATTTGTCTGCAGTCTCTGACCATCACAGTACCGTGTGTGCAGACTCTGACCATCCCTAGTACATTTGTCTGCAGAACTGACCATCTCTAGTACATTTGTCTGCAGTCTCTGACCATCTCTTAGTACATTTGTCTGCAGACTCTGACCATCTCTAGTACATTTGTCTGCAGACTCTGACCATCTCTAGTACATTTGTCTGCAGACTCTGACCATCTCTAGTACATTTGTCTGCAGACTCTGACCATCTCTAGTACATTTGTCTGCAGACTCTGACCATCTCTAGTACATTTGTCTGCAGACTCTGACCATCTCTAGTACATTTGTCTGCAGACTCTGACCATCTCTAGTACATTTGTCTGCAGACTCTGACCATCTCTAGTACATTTGTCTGCAGTCTCTGACCATCTCTAGTACATTTGTCTGCAGACTCTGACCATCTCTAGTACATTTGTCTGCAGTCTCTGACCATCTCTAGTGCCGTGTCTGCAGTCTCTGACCATCTCTAGTGCCGTGTCTGCAGTCTCTGACCATCTCTAGTGCCGTGTCTGCAGTCTCTGACCATCCCTAGTACATGTGTCTGCAGTCTCTGACCATCCCTAGTGCCGTGTCTGCAGTCTCTGACCATCCCTAGTGCCGTGTCTGCAGTCTCTGACCATCCCTAGTGCCGTGTCTGCAGTCTCTGACCATCCCTAGTGTGACGATCGCAGTGTCAGACCCCCAGCCCTTCTCACCAAAATTGTGACAGAAGGACTAGCCAATCTAAAACCGCGCTGTCACGTGCGTAACAATGCCACACCCAGCTGCACCCTGCACAACGATTTTCCAGATAATGGACCACAATCTATGTACCCGCAGCCCGAGAGCGATTGTTACTGGGTCAGGTTAATTACACAATTAACCCTTCACACTGCCACCACCACCTTTTTATACAGAGAAAGAGGAAACTCGGCAATGATGTTTGAATAATCATCCGTATACCACTGTCACCACAGGCAGGGATATATAGAGGTTTAAACACACACAGTAGTGCTCTTCAGAGGCAGGGGTTCTTAGTTTTGCATTAAAGAGCTTTAGAAACAGTTCAACACTTTCAGAAAGTAAGATTTATTACTAAAAGGTCAAAAGGGTGCAATAAAAATATTTCCAGAAAAAGATGTAGCCTAAATATATATACATAGAGCAATAACACAGCAAAGAGATAACAGAAAGAAGTTTAGAGAGATAAAATACTTGTCAAAAGTCCTGGGTTAAGCAGATCAAGTTTTCTGAGCAAAAGGGCCTTATCTCCCAAAGTTAGTTCCGATGTTAAAGGGAGCTTTTTCAACTTAGCTTCTTCTGCTCCAAGCATAAAAGCTTTTCTAGGAACTCAGCAGGGTGTCTCCTTGCAGCAGAGAACCAATCGCCTCATTTGGGGAGGGTGTTGGGGCGGAGACCCAAGCTAGAACTAAAAACCCTCGCAGTCGATGTCATGGTCCATAACTTACCCTCAGTGCATTTAGCAGCCTAGCCACTAGTAGATTAATATGCAGAAGTATCTGCTGAACGTCTAGATATGAAATATGACATACCTGCTGGGACGGTTAAGGAGATACCATTTTCTGCTCTCCTATAGATGTTGGCTAGGGGGTGTAATATATCAGGCGGTTTGTATTAAAGTGACCGATCTGACTATATGCCTGGTTTTTATGTAAGTCTTCCATATTCCAAGATATGAAATCATGGGGGAAAATGATCTCTAGTGCCACCAGCCTCTCTAGTGCCGTGTCTGCAGCCTCTGACCATCTCTAGCGCCGTGTCTGCAGTCTCTGACCATCCCTAGCGCCGTGTCTGCAGTCTCTGACCATCCCTAGCGCCGTGTCTGCAGCCTCTGACCATCCCTAGCGCCGTGTCTGCAGTCTCTGACCATCCCTAGCGCCGTGTCTGCAGTCTCTGACCAACCCTAGCGCCGTGTCTGCAGTCTCTGACCATCCCTAGCGCCGTGTCTGCAGTCTCTGACCATCCCTAGCACCGTGTCTGCAGCCTCTGACCATCCCTAGCACCGTGTCTGCAGTCTCTGACCATCCCTAGCGCCGTGTCTGCAGTCTCTGACCATCCCGCCGTGTCTGCAGTCTCTGACCATCCCTAGCGCCGTGTCTGCAGTCTCTGACCATCCCTAGCGCCGTGTCTCCCTACCATCCCTAGCGCCGTGTCTGCAGTCTCTGACCATCCCTAGCGCCGTGTCTGCAGTCTCTGACCACCGTGTCTGCCTAGCTAGCCAGTGTCTGTCTGCAGTACTCTGACCTGACCAACCCTAGCGCCGTGTCTGCAGTCTCTGACCAACCCTAGCGCCGTGTCTGCAGCCTCTGACCATCCCTAGCGCCGTGTCTGCAGCCTCTGACCATCCCTAGCGCCGTGTCTGCAGCCTCTGACCATCCCTAGCGCCGTGTCTGCAGCCTCTGACCATCCCTAGCGCCGTGTCTGCAGCCTCTGACCATCCCTAGCGCCGTGTCTGCAGCCTCTGACCATCCCTAGCGCCGTGTCTGCAGCCTCTGCATGTCCGTGTCTGCAGCCTCTGACTATTATTACAACCCCTGGCAAAAAGTATGGTATCACCACTCTTGCAAAATGTTCTTTCAATTGTTTAATTGTGTAGAAAAACAAACAATCACAGAGATGTTTCAAAACTATTTTCATTTAACATTCCAACCTTCTGGCTTTAAGAAACACTTAAATAAAAGAAAACTGTAGTCAGTTGCAACTCTTTTTGCAGATCAAGCAGAGGAAAAATATATGGAATCCCTCAATTCTGAGGAAAATGTTATAGAATCACCATGTACTTTGCAGTTCTAAAACAAACTTCTGCATCAGATTACATCTGTTAATTAGTCCGCAGTGAGCTGTTGCCCCAAGCTGACTGACATGAATCATGGCTCCAACTCTAGAGATGGCAGTTGAAACAAAGGAGAGGATTATAAAAGAAGGTAAATCATCATGGAATGTTGCAAAAGATGTTGGTTGTTCCCAGTCAGCTGTGTCTAAACTCTGGACCAAGTACAAATCAAATGGGAAGGTTGTAAAAGGGAAGCGTACTGGTAGACCAAGGAAGACATCAAAGCGTTGAGATAGAAAACTTAAAGCAATATGCCTTGAAAACAGAAAATGTGCAACAAAACAAATGAGGGACAAATGGGCAGAAACAGAGGTCAATGTCTGTGACTGAACTGTAAGACATCCCCTAAAGGAAATGGGATTTACATATAGAAAAGCCAAACAAAAACCATCATTAACACCAAAACAGAAAAAAACAAGATTACAATGGGCTAAAGAAAAGCAATCATAAACTGTGGATGAAAGTGATGAATCACGAATCTGCATTGGGCAGGGTGATGATGCTGGAATGTTTGTTTGTTGCCGTTCCAATGAAATGTACAGTGCCCTGAAGAAGTATTTCTACCCCTTGAAATTTTCCACATTTTGTCATGTTGCAACCAAAAAGGTAAATGAATTTTATTGGGATTTTATGTGATAGACCAACACAAAGTGGTACATAATTGTGAAGTGGAAGGAAAATAATTTGCAAAAAAATTTTTTAACATTTTTTTTTACAAATATGTGAAAAGTGTGGTGTGCATTTGTATTCAGCCCCCCGAGTCAATACTTTGTGGAACCACCTTTTGCTGCAATTACAGCTGCAAGTCTTTTTGGGGATGTCTCTACCAGCTTTGCACATCTAAAGAGTGACATTTTTGCCCATTCTTCTTTGCAAAATAGCTCAAGCTAGTGAGCCTCAAAAACAG